CCGACATTGTTGCTATATTGTCTGAGGAACATAAAATTCACTGACCGACTCCCGTCTGAGGCTCTGGAATTGTGGCAACTCTTAGACCAAGATCCAGCCTGTTAGGGTAACCTGTTTAATCGATACATGCTCACAGAGAGAATGAAAATCCTAGAGAACTTTACATACCTTGGTAGGGCATCTGGCAGCAGGAACCTTGAACTGTCAACAAGAGCATTTGGAGGTGCCAGTAACCATGTAAAAGGACTAAGTTACATGTCTTCAAGGCCTTGCTACTGCCAGTTTTGCTCTATGGTAGCAAAACCTAGGCGCTATATAGTGCCTTGGTTTAACATCTCGATGCCTTTTGTAACAAGTCCTTACGCTCGATCACGAGGCACAGTTGAAATACCATGTGACCAACCAGTGGTTACACCGTAAAAACGCATAATCCGTGACCGCCAACTCAGGCTATATGGGCACCTTGCTTGTTTCTGCCAATTTGTTTGTCTCTTCACGATACCATGCGGATGAAGCCCGTGGAACGACCTAGGAAGTCGTGGCTTGGGCAGCAAGACCAGACCTGCCATAAGGACCTAGTGATTGATGATGAACCAAGGGCCTTAGAGGCTCGCAAAGATGAATCCCTGTGGTTGGAAGCGTCGGCGTCATCCGCAATAACTTATTGATAGATACATATGTATATATATATATATATATATATATATATATATATATATATATATATAGAGAGAGAGAGAGAGAGAGAGAGACAGAGAGAGAGAGGGGGGGGGGAGGGGGGGTTATCCTAGCATTAGTCCGTCAAGAGATATTTGTAAATTTCCCCTTACCAGAAAATCCTCGGATGTTCTGCTCCAGATTTCATTTTGATAAATTTCTCTGCAAAACAAAGCTCAAAAGCTTACTCGGTTGATTACTCGGCTTGCAATCCTTTCATAATCAGATTAATTGAACGCTGAAATGACTCTGCCACTCAGAATGGATAATGCTTTGCAAACACTGGTAATGTTTTTTTTTTTTTATCTTACTTTTATTGTTCTTTAGGATTCTCTTCATTATCCCTTTCCACTGTTCATAATAACAAGATACATTCATGCATGTATATTTACGTAACACAAGCATATATACCTGATAAACACATAATTTTCAACAAACTATACGTAAACAAAAATACATGCATACCATTATCTCTATCAGTCTGGATAGGAATATTGATGTGCGTGTATTTGAGTACACATCTGTATGTATGTACATATATATGAATATATATGTACATATATAGCTATCTTTCTTTCATCCTGTCTCTCTCTATACAGATTTATATATCTCTGTCTGAAACTTTGCGTTAGTGTATTTGTTAGTGAGTGTGTGTTGTTTATTTGTATATATATATATATATATATATATATATATATATATATATATATATATATGTATATATATATATATATATATATATATATATATATATATATATATATATATATATATATATATATATATATATATATATATATATATATATATATATATATATATATACAGAGACACTTCCATACACACACATAAAGATGTACAGGCAATGTACCTCTGAAATATCTGATTTTGGAATGGTGTTCAAAGCAAATATTAGAAATAAATCTAAGATCGATTCCCGACTCCTTTACGAGATGAAAGACACTCTCCCTCTGACAGCTCAGTGTACCCGGACCAGTAATACGTTCCCACTGGTGCTCCTGTAGGTTATGACCCGCCTTGCATTCTAGGAAGGTAGCCATTGTAGTCTGAAAACTCCTTCCTAAGTGTCAGGTCGCCGTCATCGTTCCGGCTCATGACATCTGGTCAGTGCCGGCATAGCTAGGAAATAAAATTGATTTCCCATCCTACATAAGTTGGCATGAACAAAGATACAGAGTTGTATAATAACGGCGAGCTTACACGGAAAGCTAATTGCCAAACTGCCCGACAACAACCGAGGCAGCATTGCCAGACTTCGATACTTTCGGAAGTGCGACAGGGAAAGGAAGACCAGACATTATAATAGGAAATAGAAATATACATATGAATTATGCCATACAAGAAGATCACAAACCACATCGGATCACATTCCAATTATCTTCACCCTGGCGACATTACCCATCATGATCCCAGAAACAAAAATGTATGATTATTAAAGCGTGGAGCGGCAACTTTTCAAAAGAGATATAGGACAATGTATGGACCAACCCACAATAGAAGACTTCAAAGTTGATAAAGAATACGTAGACAATAAAATCGATATCTGGTAAGATTGAAAATACAGTGAACAAAGCCATTGCCAAGATAAATTACATAACTTTGCCTAACCTCTAAACAAGCGACCATCTCAAGCTGCTAACATGGAGGTACAGAAACCTTTTAGAGATAAAAGGACATATTGGATGGGCGCCTCTTCTACACACTCAGTACAAGCAACTTCAGAAAGAAATGAAGGAGGAAAGCAAAGCATTAGCCACAAACCACCCGAACAAAGAACAAAGGGAAAATATCGGACAATCAAGAGATGTAGGTTTTCCGAAGATTACCTCTTAAAGACTTCTCCTCTATAGAGAAGCACAAACAGTCAAACTTACAGTGATAACTCTCACAAGACTCATCACAACAGAAGATATCAAGTGTATAATTAAAAAACTTTAAGGATAAAGCCCCCCGGGCGAAGTCGCAGAGAAAGACTAATTCAGTTGCCATTGCAAAACTGAAGACAATTTTCAACTGGGCTCTTTCAATGGGATATTTTTCAACAAAATTTTAAAATGCCATAATGGTCTTAATAATAAAAGTAGCAAAAGACCCTAGAAAAGTTGAAAAATATAGACCAATATCCTTGAGACATACCTGGCACAATCTTCGAAAAAATCATTAATAGCAGATTGAAAATGCACATGGTAAACACACGTCTATTCAACACAAATCAGTACGAATTCAGGAAAGGAAGAGGCACAAAACAGGCTATAACTTCCATATATGAAACCATTACAATATTGCAAAGAATGAGACAGTAATGTAATATTGTATGTCGTGACATAGCAAAAGCATTTGACAAACTTTGGAAACCAGAACTCCACTTCAAAATCCTACAAATAACTCTCCCAGACACCATGGAAGAAACTTTTTAAAAGACCACATGGCATCACTTAGGATTGGGAACATAGTGGGATTTAAATAAGTAAGCATGGCTCTAGTGAGATTTAAATACCCTCCAGTAAGTGGCATGGCTCAAGGATCAAAATTGAGCCAAACCTTATTCATATTTTACACAGCTGACCTCCAAAGAGCCAGAGATAAATGTGCATATGTGAGTTTTGTAGACGATAACACCTAGATCATGATATACCCCTTAACTACTAGAGAGGCATTAGGAACAACGACGGTGAACGAAATAAGAGTAAATGATTTCGAAAATAAATGGAAGATCAAGACCAACAAAAAACAATTCCAATTACTATCTACCTCAACAACAAAACCAAGGGAAGTAGTAGTTGACCACGTGAGAATACCCTTCAAAAACAAGGTGAAGACAAAAAAAACTTGTGCATGGAGTTTGATATACGTGGAATATTAACAGAGACTATCAACGGCCAAGTTCCAGTATCCCAACCCAAAAGCTTTACGAAAATGAGCTCAAAAGTACAGTTCCCCTTCTATAATACCCAAAGACTAATCATAGAGTACCCGCCCATTCGCCTGTGCATCTCAGCGAAAGCTAGCATAACAAAGACGCAACAATTTCGTTTCTCGAGGACGATCATCTGCTATCAATAGCATAACTGCACAACAAATACAAAGTGGAGGCAAGAACACCAGACTTTACAACTTGGCAAAAATAAAAGCACAGCTATACCCGTAAATAACCTTTATTTTGTAAATAATTGTGCAAATAAAGATTAAATAAGCAGCAAGTAGGTCTGCCCTTCTACTTCTACATCTCTCTCTGCTTTATTTTCCGACCTTTTCCTAAGCTTCAGCTAGCTTGTGCTACTGTCTCCTGCCTTTCCTATCCTTCTGAAAAAAATCCACGCTCGTCCCACAGTCAAGGTTGCAGCCTCGTACGCCACCTAGGTCGTCGCAGTGAGGAGGCTTCGCACTAGAGAAAACGGGAAGCCACCTGGAGTGTCACACCTGTTCCCGGTCCCGTGCTGGAATCAGAAGTTGTGGTGCGCAGATATTATGGTCTCGGCAATACAGAGATAAATGATTAAGTTCCTATATAAATGAGTGAAGATGGTTCTATATTTTTATCTTTTATGTTTGTTTTATGTCTCTGCCTTGTGTTGTGGTGTTTGTATTTTACTGCGCTCGTGTTTCGTTTTATGTTCTAGTTCATCTTTGCTTTATGAAAAACATAGATAATATAATATATTTTTTTATGTCTTCTACATGTTAAAAAGAAGGCTGAAGATCTAAACATATTTTAGTTTTAAATATTAAAGGGCAAGCAATCAAAACCTCTACAGGATAAATAAAGCATCTGTACACGCCGCTTCTCAGGATTCTAACCACGTCTATCTCACTTCGGCTCATTTGCACAAGTACGCTTCACTCACTCACATATACATACTCCTTTGTCGCTCCTTCCCACAATTCTTTCGACATCTCCTCTTACATCCTCCACTTACTCCCGAAGGTACCAATCGGGTGTTGGTACTTTGATAATTGCACGCTTCAATGAGTACGTTTTTGATTCGCAAACACAGCAAATTAACTGTACAGATGTCAATATCTAATAAATACGCTGACAAGGACAAAATAACCTCAATGAATGCCATCTTGATATGGAAATATCTAAGAATATTTCATGTATTCAGCCTCCTGCCATGGTGATGCATTAATACCTTAGAAAGTTTTAATGGGATCATTAATTTTGTATCTCTAAGAACGAAACTTAATCGTAAGAACATAATTTCCATAGATTTATTGCATCATAACTTTTGTTCCTATATATACATTATGGCAATATATACACCGAACAGACTGTTGCAATATTTTATATATATATATATATATA